TGCATAATAGCCTATTAAATAGCTTAAATAAGCTTTATATTCGGTTTTTTATCGGGTTAACTTTAGGTTTCGTTCCCGATCCTTAATTAAAAAATAATACGCGCACTTATATATGTATATTAAGCTTTAATTAAGCTATAAATTATCGGTTAAAGCTTTAGTTAATTTTAATATATATTATCGAAAATATCCCTAAAATTAAAAATTTAAGGTTTCGTTTAGGGATTTAAAGCTATTTAATTAGGATAGGCTTATATTATATAGGTATATAGCGGTTTTAAAAGCTTTTTTTTATAAAAACTTAAAAAAATTAGCCGATTAAAATATTTTTACGGTTTTTTATTCGATTTTTTTATTAGCCCTTTTAATGCTTTTATAAAGTTTATAAATATAAAAAGCGCTAATTTCCAGCTCGATACCTTTCCGTCGTGCTTAGCGCTTAAAATCTCTTTTTTTTTTAATATAATATTAAAAAGCTTTTTCCGTCGAAAAATAATATAAAAACGTTTAATTTATATTATTTTTTATTATCGCGATAAAATTTTAAATTATAAAAATAATTTTTAAAGCTTTTTTTAATCGTAATAAATATTTAAAATATTTTTTAGATTATTTTTCTTTAAAAATAAGCGTTTTAAAAAATTTATTTAAAGCTTTCGGGTAATAAATTATATCGATTAAAATTTAATAAAAAAATTTTATAAGCTAATATTTTCGAGTTTTTTTAAAAATTATTTAGCTTGCGGAAATTCGAGCGTATATTTCGCAATCGAATTATTATATTTTTTAAATTTTAATATTTTTCGCTTACTATATTAGGTTTCGGAATATATTTGCTTTTAAATATCCGGAGCGTAAATGCTAAAGCTTTTTATTATTAATTTTAGGTTTAATATAATTTTTTAACCGTTATAATTTTCGGTAGCTAATACGCTTAAAAGCTATTAAATAATAAAAGCTTACGTTTATTTTAGAAAAAATTTTAAAAAAGCAAATAATAAATTTAATATATTAAAAAAATATTAAGTTATATTTTTTTATAAATTTAATAATTATTTAGTTTTATTTTAAATTACTAATTTTAAAAATAATATTAAAATTATACTTTTAAACGCCTTTTTCCTTTAATTTAATTTCCGATATAATATTATATTGCACGGATATTAATACAGCATCGTATAATGCATAAAATTAGCTTTATAACGCATATCATATCGTTATAACAGCTATAAAACCCATCGAGATATCGTTAAATAACGATATATGGGAAATCAGTGGAACTTACCCTGTACTGACCTACAGTTAGTACAGCACCACTTACAGCCACTGTTCACAGTGCTGTATAGTCAATAAGTCATTATAATTGACTGTTGTGGCCACTATGGCCACTGGAACCCACTGGAATCCAGTGGAACGTTCCACTGGATCCAGCCCCACTAAGTGTGGCCAGTGCACCTGGCCATAGTGGCCCTGGGTTACAGGGTAACCCATACTATAGAAATCCATAGATTTCGATGGTTTCTTCGATTATAAATCAACCTTATTACTAATTAATTTGATTATAAATCCAGTTTATTAGTAATATATTCCAGAATGTTTTTATTAGTTGATTTTATGGGTATAAAAGGTAGTTATTCCTCCGTAGTTAGTTATTCTTTCCTTAAGCTTTAATAAATTAGTTATACAGCCCTATAACTACTCCTACGGCCTGATTTTACGAATTATACGAACGCTTCCCTGTGCCTAAGTTTATAATCCACCAATCATACCTTAGAACATTTAATATTATTATAAATATTTAATATATTATACCTAAAATATAATAGCATAATATTTTAAAATTATCGATTAATAGGATTTTATTTTATTAATATTGCGTTTTAACCGTAAAAGTAAAATTATTTTATGCGTATTAATTTATTAGTTTTTATCGTAAATTACGCTAAATTAGCGTTAATTAAGGAATTTTCGTTTCCGAGAATTTAGCTTACGATAAATAATATTTAATAAATTTATATTTGCCGATAATTTTATATATAAAGCTATATTAGTAAAAAATCAAAAAAAGGAAATAATTATCCGTAATTATTAGTTATTTAGGATTAGCATTTTAAACTAACAAATTAAATTATAATAAAAGCAATTATACAAAAAACGAACGCTTTTTTAACGGGTAAATTATATTTTAATAATTATTTTGCCTTTTAATCGCATTTATTTTTACGTAATTAATTATATATTAATTAAATTAAAAATATTTTAGCAAGTTAGCTAGGCAAAGTTATTAGTTTAAATATTAATTTGCGGATTAAATTGCGTTAATTTAAATTTATATGCCTATTATTTATGCTAAATTCTAAAATTTTATATAATTATAAAATAATTATAAAATCCGGAAATAATTTAAGCGATTATACGTTATTTTTAGTATTTTATAAATATTATATAATATGCCTAATTTTCTTTTATACGAAAACGGCCGTACGCTATTCGATCGAAAACGCTAGCGGATTTTAATAAACTAATTTAATAAATCGGAGGATATTAAAATCGAAATATATTTACTTTAAGCTATAATAAATATTTATTTTACGTATATAAAAAAGCTTAATAACTTGCCGTTATTACGGGATAAAAGCGAAAAAAACGCTTTTTTTATATATAATATAAATAGCTTTATAATAAGCTAAATAAATATATTAAAAGGTAATTTAAATTAAAGCTTAATTTGCTTTTTAAGCCTTATTTAAATAAAAAAAAGTTTTAAATTTTTTTAGTAAAATTTAATTTAATCGGAAACCTTAATAAAATTATAAATAAAATTTATAATAATAATAATATAAATTTATAATAAAAAATATTATAATTTAAAAAAATATATAATTTTATTATTATTATATTTATAAAAGAAAATAATAATATATAAAAATAAATATACGAATTTAAATATAAATAAATAAAAAATATTTTTTAATGCGTTTTTATATTATATTAAGTTTATAAATACAAAAAGTAATAATAGCAAAATACGATAAATTTAAACGATTAAAAATAATTATATATAAATATAACTAATAAACTAAATAAATGAAAAGCTAATAATATAAATAAATAATTGCGTATAAACGAAAATAAATTTTTTTTTATTTATAGCTACCGCATAATAATATAATATTATATCCGCTAAATTTAAGAATTTATCGGATAAATCGTTAGGTTTTTTATTTTTAAATATATTACTAAATAAATAAAAGAAGTTAATTATTTAATCCCGTTAAGCGGCCTTATTTTATATCCTTATATAAAAGCTATTAAAATAATTTATCGATAGGCAAATATTTAAAAATTATTAAAAAAAATTAAGCGATTTATTTTTAATTTTAACGTTTTTATTTATTTCGGATTTAATAATAAATAAAATTCCGTAATTATTATTTTTAAAAAATAAATTAAAAATTAAGCTTATATTAAATAATAATATATAAAATCGCCGTTTAATTGCTTTTTAGCGAATTTATATAATTTTAGCTTTATTAAAAAAAATAAAAAGCTTTTTTATTTTATTTTTTTTAATTAAAAGCGAAAAAAAATTTAATAAGTTATTATCGGCAAGCTCGGATAATAGCAATTTTTTTTATAAATAAATAAATTTTAATATTATCCGTTTTTTTTATTTTTTAATTTAAATAAAAAATATATTTAATTTTTTAATTAATATAAATTTATTAATATTAAAAAAAATTTATTTATATTAAAAAAATTATTATTACCGGTTAAATATATAATATATTATAGCTTCGAAAAAACTTTAAGGCTTATAAACGCTAAAAATAATATATATGCGATATAATTTTAAATATTGCTAAAAATTTTACCGAATAATATAAGCGTTATAATAATAATATTATATTTAATAATTTTATTATATAATTTATATAAAAAGCCGTTAATATTTACGATATTATAATTAATTAAATATAAATAAAAGGTTATAAAAATTTTAAATTATATTATTTATTTTTTAGCTAAATTTATACGGTTATTAATTGCCTTTATTTCGACGATATTTTAATAAAATTATTAAAAATTCCGTGCGTTTAAATTTATAAAATATAACGCATTTATTAATTATCTAAAATTATATTTAATACCGTTTTAAAGCATAAAAAGATATATTATATAATTTATAACCGCGCGTATAAATAAAATAAAAAGCGTATTTAAATTATCCGAATTATTTAAATTAAAACAAATAAATATATTTATAAAATTACTATTTTATTTTATATAAATCGGAAGCTTATAGCTAATAGCCTTAATTTTAGCTTTTAATAAAAAATCGAATTTATAAAAATAAACCGTTTAGCTAAAATACTTAAGCTTAATTTCCTAAAAATATTTATTAATAATTAAATAACGTAATTATATTATAAAATAAAAATTTATTAAAAATAATAAAAATTAAATAATTATTAAATAATAAAAAAAAACGTATATAATTATAAGCAAACAAATAAATATATATAATTTAATATAGCTATTAATAAATATAATATAAATATAATATTAATATTATATTTATATTGCATTTATATTATATTTATTATTACCGAACCTAATTAATATACGAAAAATTAAATATTTATATATAAAAATATAATTTAATATAATAATTATAATTATAAAA